ACACACACACACACACACACACACACACACACACACACACACACACATTTAGATAAAATAAAGATTAGAATAATATTTTCAGGCTCGCCACCAAGCCTGATAACCTGAGTTCAATCCCCAGAACCCACATGGTTGAAGAAAAGAACCAATTCTTATAAATTGTTGTCTGACCTCCAAACATGGCCATGGTGCAAGCATGTGCACACACATACAAAATTTTAAATGTTTATTTCCATATTTCCTTAAAAAATTAAGCAGAATGTGGTGGCACATGCCTTTAATCTCAGTGGTCAGGAGGCAGAAGCAGGCAGATCTATGAGCAAGGCCGCTGGTATACATAGTGAGTTCCAGGACAACCAGAACTAGGCAGAGAGATCCTAACTTAACAAACAATAACAAAACCCCAAAACATGTAAACATAGCACTGTGCCAGATATGGGGATACACATCCATAATCCCAGAATTTGGGAGGCTAAGGTAGGAGGATACCACCATCTTCAGGCCATTAGGATACTGACTTTTTGACTAGCCTGGGCTGCAGAATGATACTGTCCATAAATAGGCAAGCAAGCAAGCAAACAAATATTCAGCCAGCAACTGGGAGACTGTTTCAGTTTTGAGGCTAACCTGGGACATGTAGTGCCTCCTAGGCCAGCCTGAGCTACAGAATGCAATTCTGCCTCAAATAAACAGTTGTTTCATATGCCTTGTCTGAGTTCATCCCATTTGAATGCTCAGGCCTCTAATCCTAACATTTAGGAGCATAAGGCTTGCAGGAAGACACAGGTTCAAGGCCAGCCTGGGCCACACAGCAAGCTCTAGCCCATCCAGATCTATGTAGCAACATCCTGCCTCAAAATTCCAGAAACAATGAAAGAAAAAGTAAAAAGAAACAAATGTTTGTGCTCCATAGCATTTCAGATTTCAGATTTTGGGGCTTGGGGTGTATGTAGCTCAGTGAAAGAGTTCTTAGTTTGTATGTCCTGGGCATGTGCTTGGCACATTAAAAACAAAAGCACTGTAAACCTGAAACTTTTGAGTGTCATGGTAGTGCTCAAAGCTTCAGACTTTACAAATGATGATTTGGGGTGTGGATTTTCAGATTGGGAATACTCAATCTGTATTATACAAAATTTCTTTCTTTCTATCATATTATAATATATAAAATTATATTTTATATAACATAATCTATAATAAAATTATACTATATATAAAATATAACTGTTTAGATTTGTATCCTATCCTCAAGAAATCTCATGTTTTTCCAAATATTCCAAAATCATAGGATTCAGGAGGCTGCCACAGGATCATGTGATCATGTCAGCCAGGATGACAGTGACTTCTAGGCCTCTATGGGTCTCTATGGAGACATCCTGTCAAAAACAAAAAAAACAACCAAAAGATTAAGGAAGTGAAACGACTAAGTACACAACACAGCATTAAGGAAGGACTGCGGGTATAGCTTGGTAGTAGAGGGCTTGCCTAATATGTGTATGTTCTGGGTTCAATGTCCCACACAGGCCAATACAGAGGGAAGAAAGAAAAGGGGGGGATGGGAGGACACGTGCAGATAAAACCCCAGTCTTGTGCACAGCATCCACCTTCAGTAGATTCTAGGATCCTACTCTGAAAGAATTTGATTATAATGTTTAAAGTGAGACCCAGAAATACACAGTTGTTTTTTTTTTTTTTAATTTTAAATTGGGATTGGAAAGATAGCTCAGCAGTTAAGACTCCTTGCTGTAAACTGGAGTTCAATTCCCATTACCCGTCAGGCAACTCATAACTGTCTGTAACTCCAGCTCCAGAAGCCTCTGGACTCTAAGAAGACTCAAAACTCACATGCACATACCCACATGCACACACAAACAAATATAGACATAATTAATAATACAACAATTTTTTAGATTTTTTTATTATATTTATTCATTCGTTGGGAGTTATGCTGCAGAACACATGTGTGGAGGTCGGCAAATAACATTCAGGAGTTAGTTCTCTCTGTCCACCATGTGGTAAACAAACTCAGTCTATCAGGCTTAGTACTGAGTGCCTTTACTTACTAGGCCACCTCACAGGCTCACAATCTGCACTTTTAACAAGCACTCAAAGTGATTCAAGGTGGGAAATTTAAGATTACATTTTTTTTCACACTAATTTAGAAAGATGTACAACCAAAGCCTTAGTAATAGCATTCAGCCTTTCACTATATGTCAGTATTTTCAGTTGATTGGGGGAGATGTGGAGTAAAGCAGAAAACAAAAACAAAGTACATATAATTTATACGACCTTTCCCTCCAAAAGTAAAATACAACTCAGAATCAGAGAAAAGAAAGTCTTACCATAAAATCCATACACCTGTGTTATCTGTCTACTCTCATGATTTCCTCTTAAAAGTGTAATACGATCAGGCCATTTAGCCTTTAGTGCAAGAAGATAAGTGAAGGTCTCCAAACTATAGTAACCTCTGTCTACAAAATCACCCTGTAAAGTAAAAGTTTACAGTTACAAACCATACAATAGTTATAATAGCCTCCCAAAATACAATAAAGAGCTGTACATTGTTTTTAAAAATAATTTCTTCAAAAATTATTTAGAAACAGGAGCTGTTTCTCTACAAGCCTGAAGAACTTTGAGACCCTAGTACCCATGTAAAAAGATGGCTGCACATGCTGATAATCCAAGCACTGGAAGACTGAGAAGGTGAAGCCTGGGAGCTTGCCACCAGGCCAGTCTACAGAGTTTATTGCTCAGTGAAGGATTATGTCTCAAGGCAATAAAGTGTAGAGTAAGCCTGGTCTGCCTAGAGAGCCTCAGGTCAGCCAGGATAATACAGTGAGATCCCCAAACCCCTACATATACAAATACTACTTACACTTCCAATTAATGTCTGTCTTGGGCCAATATAATACCAATATTCAGAAAATAGCTTTAAAAATAGTAATACAGCATTGGAGATGTGGTTTAGTGGTTAAGAGCACTGACTGTTTTCTCTGAGGACCCAAGTTCTTTCTATTGCCAGCACCACCCTGGTAGCTAACAACCACTTGTAACAACCACCCAGTTTCAGGGTGGTGACACCCTCTTCTGGCTTCCATGAACACCAAACGTGCATGTGGTACATAGACATACATGTAGGCAGAACACTTATACACATAAAAATAATAAATTATAAAACAAAATATTAATAATAATTAGGAAGGCGACAGAGAACTTTGTAATGGTACTTGTTCTCACAAAGGGCCTGGATTCAATTACTGGCATCCACAAGTGGTTCCCTCAAGTTCCATAGGATCTAATGGGCTCTTCTGACCATCACAGGCAGAAGGCGCACATGTAGTACAGACACACATGCAAATAAAACACTCAGACACATAAAATAATACGTCTTCAAAAGTTTGTTTTTTCCCCCATTAACTGGCTGAGAGGATTGCTTAGTGGATAAAGTACATAGTCAGGCAGGTATGAGGCCTTACCTAAATTCAATCCACAGATCCCACAAAGAAACAGTGAGGCCTGGTGCCATGTGCTGGTAATCCAGTTACTGGGAAGGCAGAGACAGGTAGAACCCAGAAACTTGCTGAGAGCCAGCCTACCTTACTTAGGGAGTTCTAGGGTAATGAGAGATCTGTTTCAAGAACAAGTGGATGGTAACTAAGGAACAACATCCAAGGTTGTCCAATGGTCTCCATGTACTCATGTGCACACATACATACACATACATGCACATGCATGCACGCACACACACAGTTCAGAAAAATTCAACATTATATCCAAAAAGGAAAATTTTAAAAAATCCACTATAATAGCAAGTGTGTATTAGGGAAAAGTATGAAATACAAACTGTACCTTCATGTATTCATCCATCTACAAACTAAACCAGGGGTTCTACGTGGTCCTCCTGCCATCATTGGCAGTCATAATTCAGTCCTATTTGTATAGGTTTACAAATACAGCATTACATGCAACTAGAAGACATGACAAAATACAGGAAAGTACTGACTCTCTTTTCCATACATTTAAATAGCAATTATTATAGAATTTTCATGCAATAAGTGGTTCCTTCTGATTTTAAATAAGCAATTGGCATTACAGTGTTTACATACCATAAATATGTAGTTTGTGTCAGGAACCTGACCTCCAGTTCTGAACAGTTCACAAAGATCATAAAACTGTAAAAGAAAAGTAATATATGCTAGTTACAAATTCCAGTGAATGACTAAGATAAACTGAGAATGAGATATGTAAAGAAATAGTTAAAAAGACCTCAAATATTTACATTCGTAAGAAGAATTTTAGTGGATTTGTTTTTGTTAAGGTAAAAACAAGTTGGTAGAAACTGGAGAGGTAGCTCAGAGGTTAAAACCACTGGCTGCTTCCCCAGAACACCTCATCTGATTCCAGGACCCACATGGTGGCTCTCAATCACCTGTAACTCCAGTCCCAGGGGATCTAACACCCTCTCTAGTTCCTTTTAGCTATACTGCAACAAATAACCACCTGTAACTCCAGTTCCAAGAAATCCAAAGCCCTCTTTCAGCCTCCATAGATACCAGGAATGCAGACAAAAATATCTATACACATAAAATAGAAATATTTTTTAAAAAGCCAAAATAAAAACAGAAGAAGCTCAGACTTATGATTCTTGTACTTAGGCCACTGAGGCAGGACTGCCACTGCCCAGAAAAGTACTTGAAAAAGCAAAAAGGAAATAGCTTTGTAAGTAGCCAAAATGTATTTTATTTATGAAGTAGCCTCTATTCAGGGCCAAATTAAACACATTTTGCTCCTTTACACCTTTATACCTTTAAAAAGGAAACTTGCAGACAGTCAGATGAGTGGTAGAGTGATTGATGTTCATAATATATTCCAGGTCCCACAGTCCCAACTACACTGTATGTATACTATAGGCTATGAATAAGCTTTTCAGCTTTTAGTTCCCAGTAATAAACTTTTACAAATCAGGTAAAGTTAGCACAGAGGCAGAATACTAACAGTAGGATCTAATGTTAAAGTATGATCTCTAGTCAGTGCTTTAAAACTGTTACAAACAAACAAAACAAAACAAAAAAAAATTGTTACAAACAAAGCAGCAGGTGGGGGCTGGAGAGATGGCCCAGTGGTTAAGAGTATGCACAGCTCTTCCTGAGGACCTGTGTTTAATTACTGGCGCCCACATCAGGTGGCTCACTACCACCTGCAACTCCTATTGCAAGAACTCTAACCCCTCTAGCCCCCATGGGCACCTGCACACACATGCATATTATACAACACAAAACACACACGTAAAAATAATAAAATTTAAAGTTAAAAAATAAAAGCCAGCGGTATTTCAGGCCCTACAGTCCCAATGAAAAAAATGAACTAAATCTTTTTCATCTCATTCTATCAGTGACTTACTATAAGATCATGTAACAATTTGCTTTACTGAAGAAAAATTTCAGAAGATTTTAATAAGACATGAATGAATAAGGAAAGTACTTAAAACAATATTTTGCATCTTCCATCCTCATAGAACACCTCATACCAGTCCACAGAACAACACAGCAGTCTATACACTTCACAAGTGGAATTACAAGTTCATGAAATATTTGGCCCCTGCTTTTATTTGCTAGTATAGTGAGCCAGAAACCACTCATAGCATGAAAACTACCACCACCTAACTACCAGCTGAGTTTTGTTTTGTATATTTTGTAGCAAAAATCAGAAAACTGCATCACTGACAGTACAAACCCTAAAATTTCCTTGTGAAATTACCTGTCCATGTATGTCCCCGCATACTGTTACTGGCGTTGACACTGGCTGAACATTCGACTCTTCCAGGAGCAGATCACAAACATAGTCACACAGCCGCTGAAAGGAGAGTGGAAAGAAAATGTCAACTTCTACAATATTACAACTAAGGGTCAAATATAAAAAACTGCAAGGACTAACATTTAGAAAAACCAAGTTTCCTTTAAAAATATTTTATGTGCACGAGTATTTGGCCTGCATATATCACTACCCGCCTCGTGTCTGAGGAAGGCAGAAAAAGGCGTCAGATTTCCTGAAGCTACAGTTAATGTGAGCTGTTTTGTGGGGACTGGGTCTAAAGCCAGGTCCTCAGCAAAAGCAACAAGTGCTCTTAACCACTGAGCCAATTCTTCAGCACCTCCAACTTTAAGTCCTTCCCTTTGAAACTGTATCATTCATTCAAACAAAAATAAAAAGAAGTATTTTTTTATTAGCAGATAAAAGCTCACACCTATAAACCCTGCACCTTGGAAAATAGAAACAGGAGGATCAGGAGTTCAAGGCCTTCCTGGGACTACATAGAGAATTCCATGTCAGCTTGAGACATACTACACTTACCCACTTCCATTACAAAAAAAGGAAATTGAAACTGCGTATTCACCATATGATCCAAGAATTGCACTAAGTTTACATAAAAATATCAGTCTACCTGTATAACATGGAATTCTACTCTAAAATGAACTACTGCTACACCACAACCTGATTAATTTCAAGGGTCTTACACTGACAGAAGAATCCAAGCATACTGCATGATTCCATTTACATACAATTCTTTTGTTGCTGCTGATTGAGACACGGGCTCTTCTACCTCAGACTGGCCTCAATTAGCTATGTCCCAGACTATGAACCCATCCTCTGCCCTCACTTGTGAGGGCACTAAGATTACAGAGTATATCATCACACTCAGCTACATAAAACTCTTTTTTAAAAAAATATTTTATTATTGTATTTTATGTGAACGGGTGTTGTGTTTGCACATATGTCTGTGCACCACATGCATGCCTGGTGTCTGTGAGACCAGAAGAGGGCATCAGATCCCTTGGAACTGGAGTTATACATGGTAGTGAACCACCATGTAGGTAGCTGGGAATGGAACCCAGGCACTCTGGAAGAGCAGTCAACAATCTTAACCATTGAACCATCTCTCCAGTCCCTATATAAAATTCATTAATGCTAAAATTACAAAAATGAAGAGCGGAGCCATAGAGATCAGAGGCCATAGAGTTGGTTCAGCAGGTTGAAGCACTTACCACAAAGCTTAACCTGAGTTCCATGCTTGTGATCCATATGGTGGAGTGAACCAATTCCCACAATATGTCCTCTGACCTCCACATGCATGTCATGGTACCTGCAACTGCCACGAGTCTCCTCCCTCAGGGTTCTCCAACATGTTTCCTTTCTTTCATCCTCTTTTAATGAGACTTTATATATCTCTGGAATTATTTTTGGTTTAAAAATTTTATAACGTGATTTATAAACATAACTATGGATTCTGTTCTACCTGGAGAAAGGGCTGCCTCTTGGTGGAAGAAGTATTAGGCATAGAGCAGTCCCCTCATCTAAAACATGTTTGCATCGCTAGTCTGTAAATGGAGTCTGTCTAGCTAGCAGTTCTTTCAGTCTATACTAGAAAAGGAAACTGATTAAACACAGAGGTTTCTGAAGCAGAATGAATTGCGGTCAGATCTTGGCCTCATTGTAGACTTCAGTTTATGACCTCTCACAAGTATTTTAAGCTTACATCAAGCCTCAAGCCTTCCAGGGATAAATGAAGGATAATAAAAAACATTTTCCATTAGTAAACATTTGGGCAAAGCAGCCAGTATAAGCACATTGCTGGAAAAGAAAATATAAAGTAGTAAGAGCCTACACAAAAGTGTTTTCTACAGTGGGCAACCCTCAGTACTCTGCCATCTCCTAGGCATGGTGGGTGGGGGAAATCGCATTACAGAAGACTGAATTGTGGAAAGTTCACTGCTTGATGAACACAAAACATTAGACTGAAAAGGTCTCTTATCATTAATATGGAAACCTAACATAATTTTAGATTTATTTATTTATTATATATACAATGTCCTGTCTGCATGTAGACCTGTACACCAGAACAGGGCACCAGATCTCATTATAGATGGTTGTGAGCCAACATGTAGTTGCTGGGAATTTAACTCATGACCTCTGGAAGAGCAACCAGTGCTCTTAAACTCTAAGCTATTTCTCATAATTTAAAAATAGCGATTTCCTTGGCAGGATTGGGTGGCAGGACAAATTAAAAACTCAACTGGCTTTATTTAGAGGAAAAAAAAAACTGTAAAATTTACTAGGCTAATTTTGGAAAACAATACTGATATTAAGTTTATTGATATATCAATTATTAAAGAATATGCTAAGGCTACTACAATTAAAGTAGTTTGATAAAAGGAATAAAGAGATCAGTATAAAATTTTAAAAATAAATGCAAATACAAGAAGTTTAGAATATATTTAAGACAGGGCTAAGGATGTAGCTTATTCAGCGGAGTATTCTGATGAATACTTGCAAAGCCCCCTTCAAATATACTCGTGTTTAATCCTTACTACCATATAAACCGGACACAGTGGCACACTCTATAATCCCAGCACTTTGGAGGTAGAGGCAGGGGATGAAAAGTTCAAGGACAACCTCAACTACATAGTTGGCGACCAATCTGAGCTCAACCTGTCTCAAAGAAACAAAAAAGTAAAATACTAAAATTAATTGATAAATAACAAGAATTGTTGCTTGAGTGGCTAACTTTAGTTTCAATTCTTCCTTCCTTCTTCTTTTCTTTTTTTCCCCGAGACAGCATTTTTTTCTCTCTACAGAGTCCTGGCTTTCTGTAACTTCCCATGTAGACCAGGCTAGCTGTCAACTGACTGCCTTTGCCTTCCAAGTGCTGAGATCAAAAGTGTGCTGCATTGCCATGTCTGGGCCTTACTTTCATTTTTTTTTTTTTTTTTTTTAAATCACTAAACTTTGGCTTGGGATTAAGGCAGAATCACAATTTTCAACAATTTCTGAAATAGTTCTGTAATTCTGTGTTATATATTTATATAATGATGAACTGAACATTCCCCTCATAAAATCAAAATATCCATCAATACTGAAAATGCTGAAAATGTCTCACAGTATTTAATATTCACCTAAGACTTATAAACACATTTTACTAGCATGCAAATTTGATTCCATTTTACTAATTACGTGCATACCAAGGGCATCGCCATCACCATCATCATCATCATCATTATTATTTTTTTTGAGACAGGGTTTCCCTGAGTAGCCCCAGCTGTCCTGGAACTCGCTCTGTAGACCAGGCTGTCCTCAAACTCTGGGGATCGGCCAGCCTTTGATTCCTGCGTGCTGAGAAGGAAGATGTCCAAGGACTTGTTTTAAAGTAATTTTAAAATAAATTTTTATAATTATGAGTAAAAATGTCTGACTTATATACTTTTATACCAGGGCTTTCATAAAACTCTTAGACGAAAAGGGGTTGTGGATGAAAAAGTTTAAGAAGCGCTGATTTAGGGAGGACTGCCTTCACTTTCATATTACCTTTCTTTTTGACTTGTTTTTCCCCCCAAATTATACTTTAATGCCACACAATCAATCTGTAGTAACATGATTTCAGTATTGAATAAAGCCTCTAACTGGAGCTTGTTACTGTGTGGACTATAAACAAGATACACAAGATACTATGACCAGACCTTTAGGAGCCTTTAAGGAGAATATAAGGGAGAAATGCCTCTGTTCCCTCTATCAGGGTCAATGATTTCCTTGAGTAGCTCCTACTTTTAAACATCTTAAATACCTTACGATCTAAAATTAGTCAGCTCCTAGAATGCTTCAAAGTGTAATTTTTAGAAAGTGGCCTGGTCACTGCAGCATTTATTTTATATACCATGCTTCCTTTCACTGCTGGCTCCATCTTAAATTATTTTTTGAATTGTTTTTCTTTATTTAGTTTTTTTACTGCTTTACTGACACATCTTTAGAAAATACCCACTATCCTTTCTGGAACAAAACAAGTTATCATTTAATAAATATTTTGAAAGCGATCATAATCCTGTTGGAATCCTGAAAGACTCCACAGTTCCCACATTCCAGTTTGCTAGAGTCTTTACCCAATTGAGGCTGGATCTCCTACTTCATAACGACTCCCAAACTGCAAGTTCTGTCTGGTAAGTAGCCCACCCTCCCTGAACCATAAACTAAAGAACATCACCAATAAACCTTGTCAACCTCAAAGGCTGAATGTCTGGAGAAGGCATGTCAACTACTTAGGTATGATCCTTTATCCTTCATCTAACCCAGGTATTCTAATTAGTGTAAAATTATAACTGCTTCCTGTGAATGTTAGTTCTGTAGATGACAAAAAGTGAGGATTTAGAGAGCAATGTCCCTGAGCCAAAGCACTGCCTTTCATTTCTGATTCAGCAAGGGCTTACAGCTTTGGATATGGCCCAGTAGCAGACAACTGTCTAACAATCAAGGGGTCCTGACTTCAATCTCTAGTACTACAAAGCTGACCAAATAACAGAAGTAGCATGTAAGTTCCTATCAGTTACCCACAAAATAAAGAAAAGTCTATGAAACTTCAGTATAAATACCCTTTGTAGGTCAGCAACTGCACTACAGTGGCCTTACAGAGCCCAGACATATCATGGTCAAGACATAGGCTGCCCTTCTCCCAAACCCTTCTGAGCTTTGTTTATTGTTTGGTTTGTGGAAAACATAGCTTCTCTTACTAGTCAAGTCACAATCTTAAAAAACAAAAAACAAACAAACAAAACCCCACCAGATTCTTGATCTTATCTCAAATTCAGGGCAAATTATGTTCCTTTCCTCATCTTGTTCAGTTAAATCTTAATTCTCAGACAGTAAGAGTTTTATGGCCCCACTCTTAAGAGGCCCTATCTCTCTTATCTATTTCTTCCTCAAAATACATACTCATGGTTTCCCATTCTGTTCTCTGCTCCTGTCTCCCCGTTCCCTCTTGACCTTCAAATATATTGGTTTTGTTGTTGTTTTCAGAGTGTCCCATGCAG